TGGCGAGTGATACGACGCCTGCTGAGAGCTTCACCGAGAGCAAGGGAAAGTCAAGTGCTATTGCAATTTTACTATACACTGTGTATATATATATATGTGTATATATATATATATATATATATATATATATATATATATATATATATATATATATATATATATATATATATATATATATATATATATATATATATAAATATACAGGACATAATGAAATACGTTATCCAGGTTTTCAGTCCTAAGAGGTTAACATTAAATATTCTTGGTACAAGTTCTGGTGCCCATTATTACTCTGGCCACCTTTGTTGTTAGCGGTGTTTTCAACTCGGGTGCGTCAAATACCAAGGTTTTTAAACACCGGTCTCATGTCTGAGTTTCTAGAACAAAAAAACAGACAACTTTTCGAAAATATTTGGCAGCAATGACCAACACAAGAACTGCCGGCCTTCCATTACAGGGCGGTCGTCTGCTGCTTTCCTGCGAGTTTTGAGGCTAAATTGCACCAAGGCAATCTTCCCTGGTGCGCTTAATACGACCCACAGTTCTATAATCCTGCACACTGATGAGTTTGCTCTGGGAGGAAGGTCCCTCATACACCTCATCCAGACTATTCTGATGCCGTCACTCGCCTTCCTGAGCCACATTTAAGTCATAAATTTTCTCTAAGAAAAATTTCCGTACAAAGTTATCAATACACTTCCTCACGAACATCTTAAATATAAAGAAAACGTAATTCATCACTGAACTCAATACTTGTAAATATTTCCAAATCGTTAGCGGCACGGCTGTAGGGAATACAGTCCTCGCCTCCTGGAGTAATGATCGTCTGTTTGAGTCCCGCTGTCGGCCACTAAATGGGTTGCCCTAAGTCCACCCAACTGCAGAGTGTGTATCTAAAGTTGCAGTTAGGGAAGTAAAAGACGGTAGATTGCAGTGCCAGCCACGCTGTCTCCTTCAGTACCAACAGATTAATCGTCTGTGGGCTGAATCCACACTGTTCCTAACGGGCCTTCATGCTCACGAGACCAACTGCTTTATAATTATAATTGTTCATTTTACCTCATCATCCTGCTGCTGTGTTTGATGCTTCCCTTAAAGAACTGATGTTGTCCTTCATCCGCCGTTTTGTTAAATTATCTTAGTTTAATTTAAAAGCGAAAGTTAACACTCTTGCCCTCTGTCAGTTTATCCAATCTACCCATTAATACATCTCGTACATGTGAATGACAATATGAGTCTGATAAATTCAAATTATTTATATTCATAAAGAATCATCCACCTTGAGGGCATCCACCACCAATGCCACATTCACTCATTTCCTCCAGTTACCCATCACAATCATCCGTCACTGATCTTAATTATCCGCCTCAGCCACTTACGGTACCATAAAAATATCATCCACCGCTGCCATCCGTATGTTATCCATCAATCAGTCATCCATCAAACTAGCTTCATCCAACCCGAATGACTTTCTGTCAGACCAAAGCTGCCCAAGCCAGAGAAACAGCACACATATATATCATAGCCAATGAGTACATAATTTAGGGGCCAAAGCCAACATAAGGGACCACAGATCGCCACACATCTGTAACGAAGGGGACACACCGGGTTGGCCTACGCCTGCAGTAACCCGGACTCACCACCAAAAGGTACCACGGACACAGAGACACTCTATCCCTGCCCCTACTATTGTAAAAAAAATATATAAATACTGTCTTCAATAAGCAGCCAAAGAGGAGACAGAATCCAGCTGCAGTTGTAGTCACACTCAGGCCCAAGTCTCGACCCGGACGTGGGGAGGACCTCTCTCCCCAGCAGTGAGCTGAGCTCAGCAGGTCTTGAGGTCCCACCTTGCTGGATCTTCCACAGGTTACACGTGAGTCATTAGTAGAGTGGCGATCCTAGGCTGACTTAATATGGTAAAAAGTGTATCCATGTCATGTTTATGTCAAGTGTCAAATATTCAGTCTTAATCATAGTAATAATCATGTGTAAAGCTTTCTGTAAGGGGTAATGAGCAATGATCATTCCAGTTAACAAGCCTTGTGTTTAGAAGGTCCCCCTAAGATCATATTAATAAGCACTATTGCGTCACGCTACCATTGTCCTCACTTTGCAATCCCCCTTACTATAAATTTTCACTATATCTTTATAATGGTTATAGCGGTACCCATTACAATGGTGCCAAAAGCATTCATTACAGCAGTCACAATGCAGACATCTACTATAATCATCTACTAGTCATCCACTTCTCATCCATTAAACAGTCATCCACCACAGGCACTCGCTACAGTTATTTACCACAGACAACCACCATACTGGAGAGACACCCACCATAGTCATCTACATCTCATCCACTGTACAGTCGTCCAGCACAGTTATTCACCACAAACAATCATGACACATCCATCCATCACAGCCATTAATCACAAAGACAACCACCATAGTCATCCACTCAGTCATCTACTGTATAATCTCATCCAATATATAATCATCCAGCACAGTTATTCACCACAAACAACCACCACAACCATCTACCACAAAGACAACCACCACGGTCATCCAACATCAAGACAACCTCCATGGTTATCTTACAGCCATCCGAGTCTACCCCCTCCCGTCCAAGCGAGTCTTTAGGCCCTTCCTCTGATATATATCACTCACCCTCTCTCCTGTTCCTAGACATCATCAATCTCACTCCCGTGCAAGATTCTGCCTTTCACGATAACTTCCCGACTTTTATTCTTAGCCTTCTCTATTCCTCCCATTTCACGTGGCTTCATCCTCTTCATTCATTTGAATAAATAAGTCTTAAGCTCTATATAATATGCATTTTTTTGCTTAAATTAAACCGGGTCCCTTTTTTTATATATCTTATTATTATTGTTAGTAGTAGTAGTAGTAGTAGTAGTTAAGTAATAAAATGGTGGTGGGGTTGGTGCACACGTAAATATAGTTAAATCCCAACCGGTTGTAACCTGGGGTGTACACATCCCTCCCTCCCCTACCAGCCCGGCCATAAATCGCTGACGGTGTTCTCCTAAACCAAAACATTCCCCTCTTCCACTCCACTCCCCTCTTCCTCACCTATATCATACTTCCTCTCGGCTCTATGTCTAAAGTTGTATGTGATATTAAAAGGAATGTGATAACTGCCAATGAGAACAACTTTCGTATTGAATTTGTGTGGATTCCGTCCCATGTTGGAAATAGGTATCATGACCGTGCTGATAGACTGGCCAATGAGGCATGTAAGAAAGAAAATGTTGACTGTGACCTTGGCCTGTCCAATGCTGTAATTAAAAACATTCAAGTCAGAATCATGAACTCTGGTCTAGAAGAAGTGAGAAATGCAGAGAGACCTGGCAGTTGTAGCATTAGTAAATATGACAAATTTTGTGACAAGAGGTACCGGTATGGCTAGCATAAGGACAGAACCAGACAATGTGATGTAGTCGTGGCCAGAATTAGGCTAGGATACAGACACATCTGGCAAGTTAGTAACGCTGTACCCATACCGGAACACTCAGCATGTAAACTTTGTGACTTCAGGCCACCTGACTTATTGTATCTTGAACTTTGTAATTACTACATTGAATCGGGGATGCTTGAGGACATTCTTGCTGTTTATCCCAAATTTGCTAGCCCACACTGATTAGTCATCAATTAGAATGACTCCAATGTATGTGAACCACTGACCTATATATACTGCTAATGAATATGATGTATTTCTTTCTTTGTGTACGAACCTCTGTCCTGCATGGCAGTGAACAGTGACATTACCCACATGAATCTGACCTATATATAGTGTCAATGAATATGATGCATCTCTTTGTGTGCGAACCTCTGTCCTGCATGGCAGTGAACAGTGACATTACCCACATGAATCTGACTTCTATACATATATAGCTGTTAATGAATATGATGTATTTATTTGTGTATGAACCTCTGTCCTGTGTGGCAGTGAGAAGTGATACCACCCTCAGTGTCAAGACCTGACTGAATTACTCAGAATAGGCAAACTGTACCACAAGCTTTGCCAATAAATTTGTTAAACTAAAAAAAAATCCTCTCATCTCTGATCCCTCCACACCTTACCCTGAGCAAACGCGAATCATCATACCAGGAAACTGTCCTTGTATTTGCACTAGTTAGTTCCAAAAATGTCAAAATTGCGAATGTGTGAGGTATAACCGAAGATGTGTGAGGTTCAAGAAGGGTGACATCAGTTAGAATCCTTTAGAGTTTAGACAGAGACCCGTCAAAGCAGGATAAAGTGGATACTGTCCAGACAACACCAACAGACGACATCCTGAACGATAACCGCGAGATTAGTCAGTCAGAAATAGAGCCAGGAAACAGGATCAGGCAGAGTGGAAAGTATCAAAAAATTGTGAGACTTGCTAACATCATGTGGTCCATAAATAGGATACTACCCAAAAGCAAGCAAATTATTCCTTATTCTAAGTGAGATCAAATAACATAGAAAGGGCAAAGACACATAAATGAGGTAATCAACACAGATTATTTCAAGACAGTACATAACGGCAAAGTTAAACGAGATAAAGAAAATCCAAGCTGTCATAAATTGCTAAAACTGAGTTACATGTGACATATGCGGCATTCACCCATGGAGTCGAATATTGTTGGAACTACCTGATGCGCACTATGTCTAAAATCGGACGTTTCCTCCGTCCTCTAGAGGAAGCCATCGAAGGCGGTATTATTCGACACAAGTGAAAAGCAACCACCTTACACCAGAAGATAGGTTACTCCTTGCACTATCACCGAGACATGGAGGAATGGGAATCACGAATTTCGAGGAGCTTGCAGCCACTGAACATCAGAACTTTATCAGCTCACGGCAGCTCCCATTAAGCACATAATAGCTAAAAAATGCCGCAAGTCCTGGAAACACCAATGAACTATGCAAAATTCGGCGTTCTATTACGACAGAATGGCAGCACACCCAAAGCAAAAAAAAAGATCGTACTACTGACATAACTGTCAGAGAACTGTAGCGCAGGAGGCGGGCGCCTCAAACTGGTAACATTAAGAGCAAAGGGCTCTAAGGCACGGTAGTCCAGTGGAAGGCATGTCCGCCCAGTGCGTGTGCGGAACACCATATGGCATCAACCACGCCATGATGTGAAAGACAGGAGGTTTTGCATGTATGAGGCATGACGAAGTGAGGGACTTCAGAGCGAATATACTAAAGGAAATATAACACGACGTCACTGTGGAACAGACCCTCATCCCATTGGATGGTGAGTGCTTCCTCCACTAGACTGCGAACACAACCAAGGAAGACCGTGTGAACGTCAGTGCTCGAGGATTCTGGACGAGAGGACAGTGAGCCGTCTGTGCCATCAGAATATTCGATCCCTTGCCGCATGTCACCCTGACCTGTCTCTCAAGGCTGCACACAGAAGGAATAAGAATGACAAGAACAGAGTACATTCAGAGAGAATCCAGAATGTGGACCAAGGCAGCTTCACAGCACTGGGTGGGATCGGACCTAGTACAAGGTACTTCTACACCAGACTGGCCGAGGTGTTATCAGAACAGAAGCAGCAGCCCTGGAGCTACGTCGCGGCCTGGTTGACGTTTCGATTATATTTCTCTCTGCTCAGGTCTGCTCTGTTATGCATCAGGGGAACAAGATATCGGTCTCTAAACTAACAATAGTCGCAGACATAAACTATGAAGCAAAAGTCACGGAATGCCACATACATCTGGTAGATCACGTATCTAACCCAGCATCTAATTACTACCCATTGTCGCCCCAGCTGGGTCAAACGTCTGACTTCAGTAACGATCATAGTCACAAGTGTCCCGAAATCAGACAGCTGATCTTGTTTACCAGAACGGCATGTATCTTCCAAGTCAAGGCAATGTCCTCGTGAGTTATAGCACCGTACGTTCTCTCAGGTCGTGTCCCTCGCTTTCCTCCTGTCAAGTCCGTCATGTGAGAAGGTCGCCAGCTACTCATGGAGGAGGTCACTGCGGAATACATGTTTCCCCATCACCCCATTTCTTTCCTCCTCTTCTCCCCAACTCCCAAACTCTTTCCCTGGAGGCGCCGACAAGGCGGACAATTCATAAACTCTTTTGCGAGAGTTACAAAAATATCCGTAGAGTCCAAGATATCTTCACCAGCAGGAGGACAAAGAGGAAGTGGTAATAATAAAGAGAGTGGGAGGAGGGAGTGGCACGAAGGGAGGGTGAGACTGGCGAAGGGAGGGTGAGACTGGCGAAGGGAGGGTGAGACTGGAGAAGGGAGGGTGAGACTGGCGAATGGAGGGTGAGGCTGGCGAATGGAGGGTGAGAATGGCGAATGGAATCTAATGTGGGATTATGGAAGCGAGGACCAGAGCACTGTGGAGTACAAGAAATGAAGCGGAGGGGAGATATGGTGATGTAAGGGAAGGAAGGGGAGATGAAGAAGGGATTCACGTTGAGGGGACGTGACGGAGAGAGGACAGGTGAGGGGACGTTACGGTGAGAGGACTGGTGAGGGGACGTGACGGTGAGAGGACAGGTGAGGGGACGGAACGGAGAGAAGACAGGTGAGGGGACGTTACGGTAAGAGGACAGGTGAGGGGACGTTACGGTGAGAGGACAGGTGAGGGGACGTTACGGTGAGAGGACAGGTGAGGGGACGTTACGGTGAGACGACGTGTGAGGGGGCATGGCGAGGGAGGATAGATGAGAGGTGAAGGAACGTCAGGATAGAAGAGGACTGGAGTAGTGTTGAGGAAAAAATAGGGAAAGAAAATTATACTATATACATATTCATCTCTCACTACATGACAAAACTTCAGCACCAATTAAACACCATTAACAAATCAAGGGCACAAAGCTATCAAAAAAAATCTATACTGATAACTTTACACGTTCATATTTTTAAATAACATTTCCGCACACTCATATTTCAGCAGGAACGTAAATAATTACTAAAACTGTTTCAAGCCCTGTGTTGTATGGCTGTTCCGCTACCATTACTTTGCTTTGGTGTGTCAGCAGGATATTGTACTTTTGTAATGTATCTAATATAAAGCTAACATACAGTGTATTCTTTAACTGTAAATAACTGTATCGATATTTAGTAAAGATGACAATTATTAGAATGAGACGATACATTTTTGTCCGTAATTTTGTCATATATGTTTATTGGTAAATAAGTGTTTCACACCCACGCACGCACACACACACACACAAGAAATGGCTGACTTACCACGAAAATATATTAATTCATTTAAAAATTTCCTGTGCATAAAGACTCACTTAATCTTCATGAACTTAACTGCTCCTATATGAACAATCACTGGAGTAACCTTAGAAACTTTATACGCGAAATTATACAACAGGGAAACACCAGGTGTCGGACTGTTAACCAACATCACAGAGGAGAGGGGAGACGAAGGAGTGTACTCTAACTTCTTGTGTAACTCTTCACAAAATGAATAAAAAAATATACTCCTAGAAATTTGGAATAGTTCATATTTTTTTATTCAAGAACCCTAATTATTATTGTATCTTAGAACGTGTAATAAAGAACAACCTCAAAATCAGTAGAAATTAAGTCTGAACATTCATACTTATTTTTAGGTTATTGTTTTCTGTACGTCCTGAAATATAGTGATGATTTAGTGGTTCTCGAATAAAAAGTTACTCTGTACTTGTTCCAAAAAAATAAAAAATACGAATCAAATTATTACATTCTAATAAGATCTTCCTCGGGTGTATAAATTTCTTAAAAAAAAAACTCTCTAGTTTAATCAGCAAATAAACAGGTGTGGTTTAGAGGCCATCACGGTACCATAGATACTTTACAAGATATCCAGGAACATATAACATTATTACAGCTATAATGAAAATAACGTTTCGCTGTGTTTTGGGGTCCAGTAACCATTGCAGGGTACTGGACTCAGTATGACGTCATCCATAAATGGATTAAGTAAACAGAGAGACATCTTATCATTTATATACATATAAGAGTATTACTTCAACAATTAGTTTACATAAATATTGTGGAAAATCTAAACTTCGTTATGTACTGTATGTCAAGATGATACTATCTGGCCGAATCTCCTACCACAGGTGTACAAATAACCTTTTATATCACATAGCTCTAAGGAAACAGGTTTAATGGCGCCTCCTTATACCACCTTCATTTTACTGACATCATAAAATTTGCGCCAAAGCCGAGTCAAACGTGAACAAATGACCAGAGCAACTAGAGGGAGAGGATTGAAAATTAGCTAAAACTATCGTTCATCAAGATTATACGTTAACCAAGTACACGACTCTTCAAAAGTGGAATAGTTCAAGTGATATACATAGCTGAGCCAACTGGTATCGTTGAATAATAATGAAAAGTTTAACAAAATCAGAATTAGTCGAAGTAAGCAGAACTGTAAAACTATTTCAGATATCTGAATGCAACATTCCACGTTATTTTAAAAATATGGATATTTAACCACTGTTTACGACTATTGTTACATCATGGATGTGAAATACGGCGAGTGAAAGACAAAAAATATGTAGAAATTCTTAACTACTCTACAGTATGAAGCACATTATGAACAACACGCTAAGACAAGATATTAAACCAAAGTATTGAAAGGGCTGAGGTAGTGGGAAGGAGACAGTGTGAAAACAATAGACCAACCATGAACCAAAGGGTGTATGAGGAGTGAAGGGAGAAAGATAGAGGCTATGTTTTCTTCCATCAGTTGAATGCCACAAGTTGATTATATACTGTATACTACTAATAATAAAAGGACGTTTCTGTCTGTAGGAGTGTCTGTCTATGTGTCCCAGCCATAGCTTCAAACCGGAAGCAGTTGGAGGGGTTCCAAGGTTATCTTGATGGTTAGGCTACTGTGGCGATTGCGATAGGCTAGGTTAGGTTACGTGGTTACTAGTGTCAGAGAGGATAAACTGCGACAGTGAAGGTTAAGTTAGGTAAGATTAGATCAGGTTAGTTTCAGCTAGTCTAGGTTGGGTTATGTTATGTTAGGTTGGATTAAGTTAGCCTAGCTTGAGGTGGTTACCCATATTAGGGAGGGCAAACTGTGGCAGTCAAGGTTATACAGTATGTACCTAACTCTAGCGAAGCCGGGTAATTTTGCTAGTATGAAATAAAACTAGGTGTACTGGACACAATTTTCCCCGTCAAACATATAAAGGCGACAACTACGATAAACCTTTACTGGTACATACACTCGTACATAAACACACACAATGGCAACCTGAATAAGCTAAAGGCCTCTTGCAAGTAGAGATATGAAAACATTTGCTGTTACAATACAGTTCAAAATAATATAACTAAAGTCCGAACATGTACTCTAAACTGCTACATTGAATTACAAAATAACAACTTTTCCCAATATTACTATGTGAGGCAGTTTAGACAGAATGATTTACAAGATGGCCCCATATTATCCTTCGACCCCGAGGAAACACGACCTCGACCTCATCGTCGGCATAGGAATCTAACGTGATCTCTTCATAGCGATAGGGACAGTCACCCAGCTCGCGTGAAATGGAGGCTCACCCGCTAGCCATCTGCGACCGCGGGGAAATCACGCCACACATCCTCAAAGATCCCACCCAATTGTGTTACTGCTGATAAGATTTAGTTCTCAGAGTTCGGATTTGGTGTCCAATTCCAGTGAGTTTCGTTCTAATATTCCCCTCTTTTTCTGGCAAGGAGTAGTTTATTTTTTAGGAAATATTTACGACTGAGAAAATAAACAGAATAAATCAATAAAGAATTTAACAGCTGCCTCATATTCATAGGATGATACAAGACAATTAGGATGAGACATTTTCCACTAAATACTATGGGTAATACATTACACATATTCGAGGTATGATACTCAACAAGAAGGATGAGACACATACTTTAGGTATGATACACAACAAGAAGGATGAGACACATACTTTAGGTATGATACACAACAGGAAGGATGGGACACATACTCTAGGTATGATACTCAACAAGAAGGATGGGACACATACTCTAGGTATGATACACAACAGGAAGGATGAGACACATACTCTAGGTATGATACACAACAGGAAGGATGAGACACATACTCTACGTATGATACTCAAC